CTGAAAAACTCTCTCGTCCTCCTCTCGAGCAAAGCCCACTCGATCTCTCTCGAGAGAGCATTCGAACTTGGTCTGGTTGCATCCGAGGCGAGCACGACGGCTCTTAGCAATGGCACCGAAAGGATCCCGAGGCCAAGTTCCCTGCCACAAAGACTCGCAGTTCGAAACCCCCCTGAACGACACTGACATCCTAATCGCGAACGCGCAGCATTCTCGGGTAGGAGTGCTCGCGTGGCGTGCGAGGGTTGTTTCCCTCGACAAACGATCAATTATCGCGATGCGTCCGCGCTAAAGCAGCCAACGGGGTGCTTCATACGCCTGCTCCGTTTACGTCCGGACGCCGCGCGTCGTCTCTCGATGGATTTGATTTCGTGGGCGTTCTCTCGACTTCCATTAGCGGCGAGCGTCCCGATTAAACGGCCACGCGTGGACCCGAGACAATGCATTTCGCTAATAATAGGCGATCGACGTATCAGATTAAAGGGCAAGCGTGTGTCGCTCTAGTCCTCGTCGTGATCCTCGTGTCGCGACGCTCGAGAGCTCGTTTCCCAGCTGTCCCATATACCGTCAATGGGAGTTCCGAGTGGCTACTCTCTCGATACTCCTACTCCGAAATCGTGTAGCTGGTAAATTAATCGATGTCTCGAGCCACGGTCATGTCGATGGATAGGTATCTGGCCCAAGTTAAGCATCGGTAACTCGGCGAGTTAACAAGCGGCGGTTTGACTAGATCGATCTCGCTGTTCGATCTCGATCGGGATCGTCGATATCGGATAGGTCGAGGAACGTTTCGAGTTTTCGTTCACGATCGTTTGTACGGATTCCATTGGGAAAAGAAACGGAAAAATAGATCTAGTTCGTTCGATTCTGACTGCTCGTTCGATAGCGTTTCTTTTTATCGTGGAAAAGCAACGCGATTTCCACGGCTCGTCCACTTTCTCGACGGAATGGCGGCTCGTTAGAGCGGAATTACACGCTTCTCACAACGAACATTCCACTTCCACTTTCCACGAAAATCTCGCCGCGATGACGACCATCGGGGGACCAGGCTAATGCGTGCGGGAATCACGCTCGAGCGAGGATGATTAGCGAGAAGCCTATAACGAAATGGGACGATGACGGTGCAGTATGGCGGGAGCACGCGAATCTCGCCGATCCCGAGGGGTGTTCCGCGTTGCTTTTTCGTTCGACGTCGAAACACAACGGACAGCGTCAGGACCCGTAAGTAGGTAAGTAGGCAGCCGGAGATATTGCTTGGTCGTTTTATAATAATCAATAGGTTTTTTTCCGCGGGCTAATGCGCGCCGCTGCGGTTTCGCCTTCTCACGCCTAGCGAACCTTACAAATTGGCTACGCGAATGGAATTTTATGCCTAGATTGAATCACGCCGAGAGAATCGGCGGATCAAACCGTGACCCAATGTCTTCCTTAATCCTCTCGATTCTAGATTACCAACCGAATCCAAACGGTTCATAAATCGCCGACGATTTCCCCGGTGATAATACCGATATTAACGAAACTGGCATTCCACTCTATTTATCACGATCGCTGGAAACTCCGTGCAATCTGGATTTCCCTCGAACCCCGATGACTAGATGGAAACCACTTCGCGGCGAGTGCTCGTAAACAGCGTCGAGTCGCTGGCCAAACAGCCGGGAATCCAATATCCAAAGTGCAAGCTAAGGGATTCGAGGGAGAAAACGGGCAATTCGATCGATCCTCTCTTAGACCCTGCTTGGTGAACTTGGGAAAGAAGAGGGTTGGCTATCTCTCGATCGAGGCGAGGATTCACTGCCGGCCGTCGACGCCTTGCGTCGTCGCGTGTGGCCACGAGAGGCGATGTTGTGTGGCAAAGTTCGCGGACTTTTACCGTCACGCGAGCCGAAGCCGATCCGTGGAACGAAACGGGCGAACAATGAAAACGTTTCACCCAGGTTCCCGACGCAGCTTTTCCCGGTATCACCTGTTCGAGCAGCAACGCGTTCGAGGTGCACCCGTTCCGGGAACAATGAATCATTCCCGTGGCCGTGAGGCCGCGCTTTTAATCAAACTTTCCAGCGAATCCGATGGTTATCGCGCGAGCAACGAAACACGCGTCGGAGTGTTCGGTTATGGGAGCGGAAATGGGCCGAGAACGGGTTAACGGTTAACAGCTACAAATTTCTCCCATTAAAGTGAAATTACAGGCGAACCTATCGCGCACGATCGATACGCATTCGCGTTTCAATCGTCGAGAAGTATAATTGTTCGCACGCGCATCCTGCACGGGCCAATCCCACGGGTTACTCGAGATCGACGTGCGGAGAAGATTACGTTCTTTCGGCAACAGTCTGTGTTCTCCACGCTTTCGCTTCGCGTGCAACTTGCCCGTGCAAGCTCGCCTGTCCGCGTGTGTACACGGGATAGACGGGACCGCGTAAAGAATTAATTCGAAAGACGAACGATGTCCATGGTATAACGAAGGGTCGGGCAAGCAGAGTAGGGATTGCTGAAGGGAACTCGAAGCGCGGTGGCACGGTATGAAAGCGGTTTACTTCGCTCGAGACGAGAGCAACTCAAAGTTCTTCAGCCTTGAAACAATACTTTAACCACTCGGCGTACTCGCGCGCCCTTCGAGCGCTCTGCTCCAGAGTCTCCACCCCCGACCGATTTACGAATCGAGGAGGGTGGTAGCAGGGCTGTTTGGTGAATTAGCACGAGCTGGGGGGGGGAGGGGGGGGGACGATGAGGGAGAGCGAGAGAAAGCGTGAGAAAGCGAGAGCGAGGGTGGAAAACAAGGAAAGCTGGGTTTTGGTGAGCTTACAAACGAATAACACAAAATGGCACAGCTTTCCTCGTCACCCAAGGGGTACTGTGCCGGAACGCGTTCCCGTTTTTTTACATGGCGGGGATCCCCAGGAGGCCTACACCATGCCACACGGTATTATACGTGTGGAAGAAAGTAAAAGAAAGAGACTATTGAAAACGCAAGTTATTTGGAAAAGTTAAAAAAGAGATGGAGAAGAGAAGTGTATAATCCTTAAGCCATCAGTCTCGTGGATGTATGCAAATCTCGTAAGAAGTTCATCTTTCTGATTTTCAAGTCTTAATAAATTAATCGTAGTCACGCGGACGGTTCCGATGGTAATGTTATCGCGACCGGCCACGAATACCGATCACGGGGCAAGCTCCATTTACGAGGTGAAAGTATTTCCACGCAGAACACACTAATGACTCGTCGCGTATTTTTCCTGCTCGCGTTCGATTACGTGCCACGTGCAACTCCACTTTCTACCGTGTGTACCGCCTCGTCCGAAACAGAATCCACCGATGAAACCGTTCCGATCGACAGCTTCGCCGAACGTCTTTCTTTTATCCTCAAGGATCGATTATCGGTATTCGAGGAGGCAGCGATAACGATGCGCTCTTCGAGGCGTCGAGTATCCTCGCATTTATCTCCGGGCCAAGAGGAAGAGCGATGACAACGGGACGAGAGGAAGAAAGAAACGAAAGAGAGAGAAAGAGAGAAAGAGAGAGAAAGAGAGAAAGAGAGAGAGAGAGAGAAAGAGAGAGTGAGACGATTTCATTAACTTTATCGATATCGTAGTACGACGCCTCGATAGAGCCGTTCCAAGGGTGACACCGAGATCGTCCGTGTGACCACGGGGGTGAGAAACTTAACGCTAAACACCGGCATACGCGATGCCGGTGCGTGTGCCTTAAACTCTAATCCACTTAATCGACTACCTGCTTGTATACCTCTTCGATGAAACTGAGATATCGAAAACGAAGAAGAAGCCACTAACACGTTCGAGGCCGAGGTGCGCGACACACCGATCACCGGAACTCAAAGAGGTGGCCACGTTACGGAAACAGGATCTTTTATACCCTGGAAATTATTGATTTCCATCGCTCCGCCAGGCCGGTGCACGTGCGCAGGTCCTTGGCGAACGGCGCACGAGCACCACCGGCTCCGTCCCACCAGTGAAAAAAAATACTTTTTCAAGAAAGTCGCGAGCCCCCGACGGGCTCGTTTTTACGCGCCAACGACGCTCCGACAAGCGATCTTATGGAAGACGATAAACGGCCAACGAATATCGCCACTCGAACAGGGTAATTGCCAGGGGTTCTTACTATTTGTCAGATAATACAACGGCTTTTCCTACGCTTCGTGCTCAAGGCTTCGAATCTGTTCCACGGTTATGGTTTGTGAGATTTCATGGCAGATCGTATCGAAGGAATGTTGCTCGAACGATGTAAATGGCGTATGAAATATGCATCGTATAAGGGACGATTTTCGTGCTCGAGATTTCAGTGCTTCTCGATACTTGTCCGGTAAGAGATGTCGAAGTAGAAATAGATTTATAAAAATGATCGTTCGGGAGAGAAGTAAACAGACGAATCGAGTAGATATAAAGTGAACGAGAAAATGACTCCTTTACGTCTGCAACCACGTATCATTTCAACCTTTTCGTTGATATTCCTACTCGTAGATGACGATGCATCAAATTTACTAACTGTATACGTGTGCTGCATTCGAGGTTAGGTAACTTAACGAAGTCATTTTTCAAACGAAGAATTTTTCCTGGGGTTAAAGACCCCTGTGAAATTCAGACTATGAGTATGTAGCTTAATTAAGACCTGCTAAGCAAGTTTAATTTTCGCGAAATAAATAGCACGCGTACGAGATATTTGATAGATGGAAAATTTAGAGAAGTATATGAAATTTCGGATGAAACTGTCTACGTCTTTGCATCCCTCGTGGAACATTTCTGTTCCTAATTGTGACGAAAATTTAATCAAACGATCACGTATGATGGTAGTGTCATCTAACGGATAGCTCTCGGAATTATTTCATTCGGAAACTAGGTCATCAGGTTTACCAATCTTTGTTATACGTAGCGGCTTGCCGAACATAACCTTCAACAGATCCTTATTCGCTATTTATTTAACTGTGACTCGATATACTTAATTCCTTTCGGTCACTGGTAAATAAACAATACATTTTTTCTATATTGTAGGGCTACTAGTTACGTTATTTTAATTAGATTTGTAGATTTAGAAATTCTAGTCTAGGATTTTTTGTCTATCAATCTACGAATAAGTACGACACGATGTATAATTTTGTTTACATATACCTAGTGAATGACGTATGTTTTGCGTAGTTAACGATTAGTGAAGGGCACACATAATAATTATGAATTTATTTTCTATGTAAACTGAAGATACGACGATTAAACGCAAGTAAAATGCAAAAAGCACAGATGAATAACTCGACGTGGCCATTTCAGTAAGTACCATTATCGAATTTTTGCGTCAAGTCAATAACGTTTATTTTACATTTTCATTTTCAGTACAAATGAAAATGCCAATTCTGGTAATCCATGGCCGGAACTTTGCCAAAAGAATGAAGTTAAACATTCTGCACGCAAGAAAGATGCTGCAAACGCAAAAGAGGGTCTTAATGTAGTACCCTTGGATAATTTTGAGTTTCCTGAACTTGGCGGCACAGTTGTTAAAAACAAGAATTCTATTGTACCGAGAGATCATTGTATGTCAAGGCCTGATAATGTACAGATTTTGGTACCTATGCAGACAAATATGGAATCAAAGAGATCAAAGTGCATAAAAAGATACAAAAGATCGGATAAAATTTGTATTAATCTTCAAGAAGCTTTACAGGTAACTATTGTTACATTTGTAATTAAATAATTACTTTGGAAAATATCAAATTATCTTTATAATTTTATTACAGAATACGATATATGCAAATAAAATGAGCAAAGAGGTTCCTAAATTAAGAATTAATCTATTATATATGGGCAATCTTGGTTTCACAATACCAAATACAATGGAAAAAAATAAATGTTCTGACTTTAGAAAAGTTAGGATATGTATTTCCAAGGACAAGAAGCCTTCGAAATTGAAGAAAATAATTCTGTTAAACCGTGATATTAAAGCACAAATTAACATTGAAAAGAGAGCAGCATTTGAACGTAGAAAAATGGATGCTATTTGTAAAGATGTTGATACTATTAATTTCGATGCTCTGAAAATTACACCAGATTCAGAGAGAAATACAGACTATGTCAGGAATATGTGGACGATGACTCTGTACGATAAGAATTACAGAAATATAAATGAAATGAATATTTCTGATGATACTCTATCTCACAGGCCAGATGTAATCGAAAGGATAAATGATCTTGGAATTCAAGGAAGGCAGTTGACAAACAGATTAATTGGAAAAAGAAACAGAACAAGTTTTTCTAATCTTGTCACTGACATTGTTGAAAATGAAATCATTAAACAGACTTTTTCTCTTAAAATCGAGGATGGAATTAAACAAGAAAATCAAAATATCACAGAAATAGATGATAAAAATTTTATTAAATTTTCAAATAATTTTAGAGAGTAAGTACTTTAATTTGTTTATATCGATAAACAACAAAATATTTTGTATTTTGTACAATATTTAAATACTATTGTGTGATACTGTAATATATTTGTATGATTGATTCATTAATTCTTACTTATATACGCAATAAATGATATATACATTGTATTATTGAAATGTTTGTCAAAGTTACATCCCCCACCCTATTTCCTTTCTACAATTACAATTTTTCTCTAAAACTTATTTTATTCGTATCAAGATACCAAGAATATTCATTGTACAAATTTATACAAATACCTTACAGATACTGCACTAACGTGTTAACAAAAGGCTTGAACGACTCTCTTGAAAAGTTCCTACAGGAAATTACAAGACTTCAAAAAAGATCTTATGAGAAAAATCCAAATAAATCTAAATATAAGCGCCGCTACTATTCCGGTTTGAAAGAAGTTCGTAAACATGCCGAATTGAAAAAACTCAAACTCGTAATTATCGCTCCTGATATCGAAAAAGTTGAACTTGATGGTAAATATAAAATTTATACCTTGAAATAAGTAAAATGTAAAAAGATCTTAAACAGGGATTTCGTTCGTGTAACATTTATACATTTTTAGACGGATTAGATGATCAGATTTATAAAATGGTCGACACGTGTAAAAGACAAAACGTAGTTTTCTGCTTCGGATTACGAAGAAGGAAATTAGGATATTATACTCACGGAAGAGGATTCGTGGGATGCATTGGTATTGCAAATTACAGCGGAACCGAAGTAAATAAGTTATAATCCACAGAATCACAACACTTCGAATCCACAAAACACTTAACACACGTTTGTTTTCAGCCACTTTTCGAGCACGTTTTAATCGAGCTTGTGCACGCACGGAATACGTTCGAAAAACTAAATGGCGCCATGGAAACGAATATCGATATATCGAAAGTGATCTCGGAGAATTTTTTACTTTCGGAAAATATTGACGCACTTTTGAAAATTTTATCTCATAATATGCATCCTTAATGGGATTCGTATTCGTTTAATTACGAACGTTAAATAGGAAGAAAATAGCGATACTCGAATTATTGACAAAATCGATACATATCGATATACATATACTCCAAAGCTTATTTATCGCTTCAGCGTCATTTCCAACGTTACCGATTCGGTACGGAACGAGATTCCAACACCAATGGTGGCCGGAATCAAAACTAAATTTAATTATGAAATTGTGAATAATATATAGGTCAGAATATATCATAATTGCATAATAACGTATGCAATATGGTACTTATACTATACAATTCCAGGAGTCACTGGCCATATTGCTAATTAATTTTTTAACATCGTATAAACGCAATCATAATTACTGCCAATTTCCTCATAGTTGCTATATAATTCATAATTGCCGTAGATTCGTATAATTAGTAATTTTATATTAAATAATACCGATTACCCAAATTTCACTGAGATTGCTACGAATGAGGTCCTAATTATAACTGCGTTCCATTCATCCTGCTTTTACGCAAAAATTTATTCATTTTTGAATAAATTCTACGATTAATGCGTTTGCAAAACGTTTAACTTCTTAACGTTGTGCAAAGCAAACAATAAATAATGTTCAAATTAAATCGTAAATTAATCATATAACTCTATATGAGACGTTTCATACATGTATCAATATTTTAGACATTCGTGAAAAAGGAAACGAAACGTCCCACAAAGAATCATTACTTTACTTATCTAATTAAGTAAACACTCACTCATCATTAATTATGCATGCACCTAGTTACTAATGTATCTTAACTAGAAACTAACGTACTTATTTAATACTGCCTTTTAACAATGTTAGTTAATGCTTTCTTATTAATTATCTACTTATATAATAAAATTTTGATTTAAAAATATTCTGCCTAATCATGAATTAATTAAAAAATTTAAGCAATCCTTATAGATCCTTATAATTATAGATTTATAATCCATATAAATCCTATTAATTCCAAATCTAAAGGTTTCTTTTTATAAATTCCTCATCTATATTACTATAAAAATTTGTTCGTGAACCCTACCTATATAAATATTTAACTATAATAAAGGAAAGGAAGTGGGATATTACGTACGACATAGAACTTCTATCGTTGGTTTCCCAGTAGATTTTAAATTAAACAAAGCTGCAAAAAAATTAATAAAGTTTCACGACATATAATTAATTTGCAGTAGACGTAGGTATAAACGTCATGCTGTACCATTTACCTCTTTTCTTTTTCCTCTCATTTCATATCATTCTATACTGAAGCATATATTGTATGCTTTACAAATGATATTAAATATTCAAATATATAATCGGTGTTTTTTACAAGTTGATAAATCTGTAACGAACTTGTTCAGTGTGCCAGTATTTAAATAAAAAATGGAAGGAAAAGAAAGATTGACACCTGACAAAAAAATATATTTACTTAAAATCCTACTAATGCAATTAATATCTCTTTTATGAAAGAAATTAATTTTAACTTCTTAATCAGAATTGTAAAAATATGAAACGCGTTTAAAGTTAAAGAACTTTACTTACTTATTTCGAATTAAGCATTTTCTTTTAGTACCAAGTATGAAAATGATTATGCATACATGTATTTTACACGTGTTATATAAAATAACGTACGAGTTCGCGAAAAATAAAAGTACAATTTCTATTATTAACACGAAGCCCCGAATTCCAGCCACAGAACATTTTTCGCGTACAATTTTTAGGAAAAACAGAAATTTGATTTATGGCTAACAAACTCAAACATTTATAAAATTGTTTTACTGTCAAAAAAATTGGAATTACTACGAATGGGGTAACGATGAAAAGGGAATAACTGTAATGCCGAACAGTCATAGTTATTGACTCTGAAAAATGCTTCGAATTCATTTTTTATTTTTCCCTTTGAATAAAATCACCGAACGAAATTGTTTAAAAGTTAAAATAATCCTATTATTCGTGCAAAAGAGAAGCGTTTCTTTAGCAGTATTTTCAGTAACAAACGCTGTGATAACAAAGGGTGCTGAAACAGAAATAAAAGGAACTTCGATAGCGAGAAGGGCTATTAAAATAGGTATATCATTCACTCAGTACAACCAGAACAAGAAACCATGAGTGGAATATCCTTTTTGTTTCGCAACGCTAACTTTATTATTAAATTTACTCACAAAACAGAAAATTCTCGGAATTATCCGCACAGAGCGCTTTCCCTCTATGGCAATATTAATTAATTTACACCTGGTCAGTAGAAAGGAGAAAATAGAAATGGAAAGAAGAAGTAGTAAACTTTAAAAAGCAAATATGCAATGCCAGTAAATAGTAGTCTGTTCTCTCATAACTAAAAATAGACAACACTAAATGCGGAAGGTCCAGGGTAGTCAAGTTCAAGGCTGCTGATGAACAATCACTCTTATGCAGTCTTTTCAGCTGCACCAAGTAATTCAGGAACAGCAACACTTCCACGATTCAAATACAAGAATTCAGACAATACTTGAAAAACGAAAAGCGATTATTCATTGACGCAACACTAATGCAACCCTGATGGAATAATATCGCAACGCTAATTCTTAAAATGAATTTAATAAAAATCTAACTTTATACTACAATTTAAAATAAAAGAAATATTAATATCGCTGTTTAAAAAATTACAATAATTCATAATAAAAATTCTGAGGGTCGCGATTCGTATCGATTGGGATCTCTTATTTTGCAACATGATCGAGTAACAGGAGGAGTAATAATGCGACTTACAAATAAATGAAGTTCACCATCTCTGCAAAATCCGTCACCAGAGAGAAGCCACCAATGGGCGAAGAGGAAGCTGTTCAAGACCTGTAACAAAGGATAGAATATTATAATTAGTTACTAAATACATTGTTGAATATTCGAAGCGAGTGAATTCATGAAAGACGAAACTCTATTTAGCTTGAAACTTTAATAACAACGAAGTGCAACAATGTAATAAGCTTAGAAAATAATAAAATATGGAATTGCCACACAGAAGCTCAGAAATTGGAAGAAATTCGCGATTAAATATTGAAACTACAAGGAACATAGAGAGTAAAAATAATCATAATAACAACGAAGTGCAAAACTGTAATAAGCTTAGAAAATAATAAAATATAGAATTCTCATAGAGAAGCTCAGAAATTGGAAGAAATTCGCGACTAAATATCGAAAATATAAGGAACATAAAGAGTAAAAATAATCATACTTACAGTTATGGCTTCTAGTGCGGCGTCGAATCATTTCGAGAGAAGCACTGACTCTAATACCGAAAACGAATGCTCGAAAGCAAAGGTCCATACGTATGAAGAGAATAAAAATTGAAGACTATGAACGCGCCCGGTTAAGTTAGGATCGGCGAACAAACACTGACTCTAATTTCGCGTACAAATTTGCTTAATAAAATTTCACGCAGCAAACACTGGCTCTAATCACGTATGCGACTATTATAATTGAATTTAGAAATGAGAGGTACTTTGCTCCGAACAATATTAAACATACAATTACGCGGCAAACACTGATTGCGCGCGACACCAATATTTTCACCAAGTGAAACCTCGTTATTAACAAAGGGTGGAATAGAAAAATAAGCGAAATATTTTCATATTTCTCTCATTTTTCCTATCAATCGTATGGACAGAAAAATCCTGCTGCTTTACTGAAGCTACCGAATGATTATCGTTTATTTCTTCAACGTATTTAAAATATTAACGCGTGGAAATATATACGTGTAACCTACGTGTAATCTAAGATTAATAGAAACTTTACTCCAACGTGACTGTTCATCGTCAAAGTCCGAGTCTACAATGGCAAACAACAATTTATAAATATTCAAGAGACTCGCGATAAATCAAAATATTCTAGCTAAACACGCCAGAGGAATATGTAAACACTACACAAAAATCACATTTGACTTTGCATCGAAAGATGATCGCGTTTCTAACTACGGCTCTTGTGAACGTAATAAAAGTTGTTGGCAATAACAAGGTGACGTCGTTACTACAGAGAACACAGAACGGAAATACAGCCAAATATGACGCACATTAATTTTCTTTTTTAGATATAAGATCTAATAAATCTACTTCGAGTTACTGTCAGTTTGTCACTCTATAACGCGAAACTGAAACGGCCAAGTGATTAACTAACCTAATATATTGGAAATTAAGCAACGATTTAATATATACGAAATAAAAACGCAACCTTCTACTATTTATTTCTTTTTTATTTTCATCTCGGTACTCGCGGCAAACTACAACGTTATATATTAAGTTAGATTAGATATCTAAGATAGAAAGATCGGCGTTCGATTCACCCCCCCCCCCCCCCCCGCCGTAGTTAGTCGATTCTTTTTAAATTTATTTTTTATTTTGTGTTCATTTTTCGTATATGAAAATTTTGTAAATAAACAAATGTAAATAAAATATCGTAATAAAAAAATTTATTTTTTACGCTCTCTTATGCAAGCATTCATTCCTTTATCTGACAGACGACAAATGTACAAAGGTACGCCTTTACAACGCAATTATAAAATTTCATAAATTAATCACATAAATTGAGTGATTTGTTAATTTTTCTTCAAGTGAACAGCAGAGTGCATAGAAAATGCGAAAAAATTGCAAACAAACGTCGGAAGCATTGTTGTGTCCATGCAGGTGTACCTACATCACGCAAAAGAATGTAAGTCTTTGTCTTAACGTAAGCTTCAGTTGTAATTAAATAGTGTAAGTTATGAGCCATTGTTTTTCCATCTTTTATTAGTGATAGCAGAGCTTGGTTGTGAAAAGGAAATATTCTGTTGAATTAAACAGACACATGCAACGGTGGAAAAATATTGGACTCATGGAATATCACCAGCGTAGAGCCATGAGATGTAGAAGAATTATATTTTATAACGAGAAAAAATTGAAGCAGCAATACAAATATGTAAGTTATGATATGTCTATTGGATTCTAGGTCGGCTAACCATATGACATACAAGATAGAAATCTTTGATGGT